AAGTTGGCTATAAACTGATGTGTTAGATTCTGTTGTCATTTGAGTTGTAATTATTGCACCTTACATTGTCAATAGACCTGTTCTGACTTGTCACAAATTGCATTATGACTTGTCAATTAATTTGCTGATATAAGTTATCTAAAATATGAATTCAGGTTACATAATGGGTTTTAGCATCATATGATGTTTTCAATTACTTTGACATATTATATTTTGGTTATAATTTCGTATGTGATCATTATTAAAAGTATATCATTGCTGATATAAAATTATAAAATGACTTGTCAATAACTACATCATCGCTTTTTAATGGTGATAATGTCACTTGTCATTGGCTACACTATCACTTGTCAATGTAATTGCAGATATAAGTTTGAAAAAAATATGATTTCAAGTTATATAGCGTCATTTAATGTTGACATATCCTTTGGATTAACGTGACATTTGTTAACTTTTTAAAAAAAAATCAATAAATCACAATTATCATTTGATTTGTCAATGGTAGCAATGTGACTTGTCAATGGTGGCACTGTAACTTGTCAACGGTGGCACTGTGACTTGTCAATGGTCGCATTGTGACTTGTTAACCAAGTACTCAAGGGCATAGAATTTTATCCAGGCGCCACGCCTCCTATTATAGAATGCCTCTCCTTTCTTTTTTCTTCAAAGGCTGTGACAGATTGCTCCAGGCACTGCGGCGGATTGAGCATTATCAGACTTGTCAATAGTGGCACTGTGACTTGTCAAGTTTTAAAAAATTGTCATCTAATTAACATAAATTTTGGTTATACCTTTTGGTTCATATTTTTATTTTAAGTTACATATAACTTAATTGAACATTTTAAATAAACGACATCTTCAATTTTGAAATTTTTAATATCAGTTGTTAATATTCATATGTTAACTTGTTAATAAGGCCACTGTAACTTGTTAAATTTTCTGCTATTTAATGTCATTTTCAGAATTACTCTGTTAAATATAACTTAATTGGAAATTTCAAATAAACAATCCCTTCACATAAAGTAATATGCTGTATGAAATTAGATTACCCATGAATTTGATGCAAAGCAATAATACTATTTGTGTACTAGTCCATGGGTATTGACTACATAATTTACTTTTAATACGACACATTAATTGTCAAAAGTGGCACCGTAACACTATAAAAAACACACTGATTACTGACAAAATTACCCACGAAATTACCGACGAAAACCAAAATTACTGACGGATTTTCGACGGGCGGGAATTTTCGACGGAATTGTTGATGGAATGCATTCCGTCGGAAATTTTTCTGTCACTAAATCATTTTGCGACGGAATCGCAAATTCCGTCGGTAATTTCTAACGGAATTTCCGTCGGAAAATACCGACGGAATTTCGGACGGAATATTCCGTGGCTGATCAATTCCGTGGCTAATTTGCCACGGACTTTCCGTCACAACTTCTGTGGCTAATCAGCCATGGATTTGCTCACGGAATATTCCGTGGCAAATTGGCTAATTCCGTCGCAAAATTGTTTCCGTCAATTTTTTTTATTTTGTGCTATTTTAATTTGATCAATTGTTTTTTAAAAGGGAACGAAAGACAATTTGAATTTGTCAAAAAATCAAACATGCTATTAGAGATATATATATATATATATATATAGTCTTTCACACATCCAAGATGCTTCAAATGTCAAGTGTCAAGTGTGAAATAAAAGCTAGAAATAATAATAACTGTCAACTATCATTTCCTAATTTTATATTGCTGCTAGAGGGCTCAGATAATCTAATTCCCATTCCTTCCAATGCAGACATGATTTTGTTATAATTTTCTCTCATCTCTTGATGCTCCTATTTAATTTGCTGATTCTCCTGTGTAAGCTCTGTTATCCTCGTGCACAATTCAGTCTCAACATTGGCATTCATACTTGTGTTGTTAATGGAAGGGGAAGACCTCTGGGTACAAATATCATCATCATCATCAGCCTCAGACCCAAATCCATAGATGCGGCCCTTCTTGTTCTTGCCACCTATAACATCTAACCATTTGTTAAATTCTTCCTGGTTAGATTGTATGCTTGGAGAATCTCTTTCAGAACTTAGTTCTGCCTTTCTTCTCATGAACTCATCTTATAAAACAAAAAGACAACAGGAGTATATGATAAGTGCATGTTATGGAAGGCAAGATTCTTCTCAACTTAATCCCAACAACAACCAGATCAAGTCAAGTCCAAAAAAAAAATTGCACTAAGGATAAGAAAAGATACCATAATTCATTAATTTCCGGCATATGATGACATATTCACCAATTCTATCAAAAAAAAAAAAAAAGGGTATAGGAAGTTCCTATAAGTAATTGGGTGTGAGGGCCAAATGAATGGACAGTGGGAAGAGAACATGGAAGTTTTGAAATGAAAGGAAAGATATTGTACCTTCATTAAATGGTTTTTTAGATAACTGAAAATAAAAAATCCTAAAGACTATATTTAAAATCCAGAAGAACTATTTAATAATATTGGAAAAAGAACACCGTATCAAACTTTAAGACTCTCTTCACTCAAAGCTTGGATTTTCTCAAGCTTAGAACTTACTCTTTAAGGCTATATCCACCAAACATTTGATATAAAGATAGAATATGCATTTATATATATAAAAAATACATTGCGTGAGTTTGATACACTGCTACCGATGTTATTGGACATTAATATATAGTTAATATATAGGTACCACTTTTGCATTTCCTCTTTTTCTATGTAACCACTACCCCAATATCGATGCCTTTGCAACACAATATCCAAGAGTCAATACACAAAGTAAAACCCTTCAATTTTTTTTTTACCTGGTTAAAGAAGTCAAGTTTTGGCAATATACTTATTAGAGAGGTTTAGGTATAGAACTATAAATATAAACCTATATGGTCTATCATCCCGCATGGTAGAATATTGCCTAATGATCAGTAGTGGATCGGGGAAATATATATATATATATATATATTCCAACTAAGATCGATGTGTTCAACTTATACTAGGGATAATATTTTTTTAAAAAAATTTTAAGAAATGACCTACATAGAATCATAAATACTTTTCTCAAGAAAAGACAACTCGTCAAAGAGGTGCAGGGATATATATAATGAGTTACCTCACATTCCATGCAAAATATATGCCTATATTCAACTTTTATTAATATACGAAACCGTAATAAATAGAAAATTGGCCTGTAATGTCACAATACAAAACAAGGGGACTTTTAAAAGGCAAGTAATACTATATGGATTTTATAAATGGATCTGATATGAAAGAAACTACTTTTTGGTTTTATGTGAAAAAATGATCCAATAATATGTCAAATATTAGAAACATATACTTACATGAGCTAATTCCGCTCGCTGGTCTGCAAATTTTCCAGTTTTGTCATTTAAATGTGTCCTCTTGAACAATTCAAACATAGAAGGGTCTCTTCCTAACTCCAAAGCCTGCAATTATTTACCAAGATGTATTATATATGCATTAAACAAATAACAATTTAATTTAAAGATAAATTCTTACCAGTCTCCTCTTATGCTCAGTATTAGGAATACTTCAACCTTTGTGTTGAGTGCCTCCTGTAGTTGAGGCTCGATTAGCCTTAGCAATCTCACACTTAGCCTTGTAATCTTCTGATGCCCATATTATCTCTAGCTCGGTCATCACTTGACGTGGAATCCACTTAGCCCTAACTTGTTTTTGATACAAGTCTTGCCTAATAGTGTGCATTGTATTTCTTAAAATTTCTACACACTTTGCATTCCAAATTTTCTTAATAGCATGATCATATTGTGGCAACCATTTATATTTTCACTGCATAAATGAGAAACAAAAGAAAAATATAAATTAAACATGTTGAGAGGAAAAATTTGAAGACATAAAACAAATACAAGTACAGATAAGATTTACCGCCCATTCATCAAACCACATTTTCTTATATTCAGGTGGTGTTGCTTTCCAGCTGGAACATGGATGGTCAAATTTCTCTTGAATAATAGGAAGAATATTTCGTACAGTAGCAACAGCAGGATTAAACCTAATAACAATTTTATACAAAATATCATTATAAATGTTGTTAGAATGGCATTAATATAATAAATGAAGATGTGAAATAATATAAACTTAATGGTGACTTACGTTTTCTTCTTCTAGATATATCCATGTTCGATCATCTGAAGAATCATAACCTGATGGTGAAAAAGTAGGAGGGGCCGGAGGAGTGGGGGGGTACGAATTTTCAATTCCAGGAGATGGGATCTGAGGAGATGATGCTCGAGGTGATAATGAAGGTCTATTATATGACTAAGTCATAACTGGAGATAATCCGTGGGATGATAAGGGTCTGCTACATTCTTCATTTATAGCTGGAGATCTAGTAGATGCTTCACCCACAGGTAGAGAAGATGTTTGAACAGGGAATTTGTTGAGTTGGTCAGATAATTGTGGAGAAGTTGAAGAGCTCAAGTGTGCTCTATCACGCTTTGAACCACGACCTACCATCTACATATTCAAGCACTTTGAGTTAATAGTAAATAATCATCACAAAATAAATCTCAATAAAAAGTAAATCAATTAGAAGTCAATATATGCAATCAAACTTAAACTCAATTAAATAAGAATGAAAAATCACATTATTTTATGTATCATCATCATCATCATCATCATCTTCTTCTTCATCTTTTGATTAAAAAGAACCAAAAAGGTGTATGCTGAAACAATAGTAACAACAAGGATGGATTGTTGGCCAAAAAGAAAAACAACAAGAAGGATGGATTTAAATGTGAGAAGATAAGGAAGCGTGGGTGAGTGATGAAGATGTCAAAAAACTATAATTACTCTCTTTAATCATTCTCTTTTGTCTCCACTCCTCCTGCTTCACACTCAAGCTGCTACTACTGTGACACTAGCTTCTCTTTTTATTTTCATTGCATAATAACGGGGATGCAAAAATACTAGTAATGAGCCATATAAATCAGTGATTTTAGCTAACTGCAGACTAATACAGCCAAAATAATTTGTGTGTATGTGTGTGTATCTTTTAGAGTCAATTTAAAACAGTAGGAATTAACTTAAAATTATTAGGAAATCATTTGTGTGAGAACGCATTTAAGGGGAAAAGTTGAAATAATGTTCAACTCGAAGACACGCTGTTAGTGGGAAGAAAGATGCTCTAAGATGAGAAGAATATTACTCATTCAGCAAAATAGAATCAGATTTAGCAAAATAGAATGTTCAACTCAAAGATGCTCTGACTTTAATCCTACAAAGTCATGGGGGTGGGGCATAGAATCAGATTGGCATTAAGATAACGGAAAGCCTTCTAAAGACTAAGCAACACTCAACACAACATGATATGTGACAAAAATAGAATTGCTGGTCTAAAATTGCACACCACAACATTCAGCAAACAGAACCAATGTATTCAGCAAAATAGGACGAAAAATCGTATAACTTACATTCAGCAAAATCATATTCAGCAAAAGGTTGTGACAAGAAGAGAATAGCTGGTCTTGAAGCAAGAAAAGATCTCGTAGCTACTGTAGAGAAAACTCCCACAACCAACAAGAAAATTTGTCCTCAACTCTCATCCACCCAGTATAGCAAAAGAAAATAAGATTTCAAATTATTAGAGATATGAAATTATTACAGATTGAATGAAGAAGTAAGATTAGGGGACCAAAAACCATATATATAACTTACCAAAGACTGAAGCACGAACAGTGACCTAAGCTTAAAAAGCATTCCCCTGGAGCCTGAACCTCGTGACTTCGTACCTCAATCCTGGCCGCATTCGATCTACGCCTCAAACTCTCTTAACTGGCCCAGGGGTTAATTAATCTCCACATCATGGAGAAGAGCAGATATCTTTGTTGAAGACAGCATGGCAATGATGAAGTACTGGAGGAAGAAGTCGAGCTCGATGGTGATAATGAGAGATGCCGTTGCCGTCGAAGCTTGATGGAGGAAGAAGTCACGGCTTTTGGTGTGGATGAAGGGAATGTGAATGTTGGCCGACGACGATGATGAACAATCTGGATGATTAATGGCGTGCTGGTGGCTAGGATTCCACAGGAAGAAGCCGCCGTTACCTTTGCCCTTAGCAGTCGCGCTGAAGAAGAAGAAGCGATTATGGTACCCTAGCAAGCAGCCAAGCTCATTCAAAAGTCAAAACGCTACACTTTTGATTTTCACTCATTTTCTTTTATTTTTTTTATTTTTCCAGCTTTTTAAATTCCACCACCAAAAAATTAGCTACGTATCATCTTTCAGGTAGACATAGGGTGAAATCCAAATAATATGAAAATCAAATTGATTAATGATACTCATAAAATTTTTTATGGTCTTGTTTTTTTTCTCCCTAATCATTTTTCAGAATTTTTTTATCTGGATATGTCACTTAAAGTAAATAATAATAAAAATAGAAGTTATTAAAATTAAGAGAATGGAAAATTCAGATATAAAAATAAATCTGAATACTATTGTATATCTAAGCATTTAATACTTTAAGAAACTGAAATTAATAACAATTTAAGAAAAAATTTTATAAACTTTTCAATTGTATTTATTAAAATAAATTAAAATATGTTTTTTACATTTAAATATATTTATAAAAAATATACATAGAAATAATTTATTAAAAAAAATAAAGAAAGAAGAAAGTCCAATTAAAAGCCCCACGAAGGCAAAAATAAAAGTTAACTATTGCTAGCGTTATTCATCTACACGAATAATTTTGTTTAATTGTTTGTTTAGTTATATATAAATATCTTTTATTAATAATAAATAATTTTTATTTGATTTGAATAATTTTTTTGTCAATATTGATGACAACAAACTATAAAGAATTGTAGTATAGATTAAAAGATTATAGAAAATATATTAAATGGAGGTATGATAAGAGGAAATGTAGGGATTTAATTAGGGATAATTTAGTTTTTTTAAATTTATATTTTGATATTTGGTCCCTGTAAACAATCATAATTATTAAGATCCTTCCCAATGAATATTATTTTTTTAGATCCTTCTTTCTAATTTTTTTAATAAATTACAAGGTAAAATATGGTTTTATCAGTGTTACAAAAGAAGGGTTAATTGTTGGAAGAAAGAGAAGAAAATAGTTAACATTTTTTGTAAAAATTAAGTCTCAAATTAAATGGGTTAATGGAGGGAAGGTGAAAATCTTTTGAGGAAGAATAAATTTAGCCTTCTAATAAATGAATTATGGTTTCTTCAAACAAAAAATTAACAAAATTACATTTTATAAATTCTAAGTTTAAATTTAAGTCTTACTATTTTTCTCACACAAGAACAATAATATTATATTTAGAATAATATTATAATATTTCGCCAACCTTTTCTCAATCTATATCTAGCCAACTTGATATTAATGTTGATATATTTTTTTGCTATAATTTGATTAATATTATTTTGTATTAAAAATGTGCTTTGGCTATTAGATATGGTGGACTAACTTTCATATTTACTATTTTTATTTACATAACATTCTAATTTTTATTTATTACTAATTCCTTAAATATATGTTTTTTATGTTATAGTAGAACCTTCTAATTGTATTATTTGTAAACAGTTGTTAATATTAATTTTCTAAATTATGATCTATCAAATACCAGCTTAATTATTTTTTAGTATCCTTTGAATTGATTTGATATTTTTATTTAGTTTAAAAATGTCCATCTATTTTTAAAAATAGATAATATATTGTATATAATATAATATTGACAATATCTAATTACATGAAGTTGTGGAGTAAAAAGAAGAATAACGTTGTCATGAATAAATTACAAAAGATGATGCTTAGGATTCATACATCTCTCACATTTTAACAAGGATTGCTATAAATCACTATCATGTACAATCAAATCATCAAGCATTTTGTTTGATTAACGAGACTTATAATTTTTTAATCAAAATTGTTGAGTCTAAATTCTCAAAATATATGTTAAATATTTGGTAGGAGAATTTTGTTTTTCTTTACAGTTTTATGAAACTAAATACTAATAAGTTAGCAATATTGTTATACATGATTCCATGTAAATATTTGCTTTGCACCTATTATATTCTTCATATGATATTATCTCAAGATTAGTAAATTAAAATTCAATTTTGTCTCTAACATTTATTCTTCTATATTATGATCAATAATATTCAGTTAATTTGAAATAGTCACAATCAACCAATTACTCAAAAAGTAATTTTTACTTTTTCATACTTAAGACAATCAAATGCATAGATTGAATTATTATGATTCACCCACACTTCTAGGATTTCACTATATTCCTTTACGAAATTTTTATTTGTTTTTTTTCTTACATAATGTAGTCTTTCACCTCACAAAAAAATAGAATCACTGCATTTTATTATAAGAATAAAGATATAAAATTTTGGGGAAAAGAAATTCACTTTTCTGACGGAATTAGCCACGGACAACATTCCGTCAGTAATTTCCGTCGAAAATCCGTCCAAACTTCCGTGGGTAAATTTAGCGACGGAATTTGCCACGGAATTGCGACGGAAATTACCGATGAAATTTTTCCGTGGCTAATTCCGTCGGAAAATTATTTTACCGACGGAAAAATTCCGTCGGTAATTTCCGACGGAATTTCGTGGCAAATTCTGTCGGTAATATTTCCGACGGAATTTGCCACAGTTTTCCGATGGATTTTTGCAATTCCGTCGGTGATTCAATGTTTTTTTGTAGTGTAAATTGTAAGCACAGTTTGATCAATTATTTTTCATCACAGCATTTAATGACTTCAATGCAAAATGCTATTTTACAAGCACGATCGATATAAATAACAAAGATCTCTATTTCCTTTTTTTAAGGTGACTTTTTCTTGGAAGCATAGACAAGACTTTGTCTATATGCAAGTTGTTTCAGTAACTGACAAGCCACCACAAACAACCAACTTTCAAATCACAGAGGTCTTTATAGGAGTACTTCGGCATTGTGTGCCCATAATCATCATAA